GAAACAAAGACATCCGTTTCTTTACGCATGCGTAATAAAAAAATTTATTCAAAAACAAAATGACTTATACTGAAAAAGTAGAAAAGTTTCCTCGTATTATTAAAATCTCGTCTTTTATACGAATATAAATTAATTCCCACGAGCAATTTAAAATATAATAATTTAAAATATATACTCGCTTTATCGAATTGCAACCGGTGTATATCCAGATTGGATTAAATTGGATTTGCATCATTCTTAACTTAAGAAAATCTGATGGACAAGAAAGAACGGAACGTGTGAACAATGGTCCGAATTTCACCGTAGTATAGAACCGTGAAAGTGTCTCCGATTGGAAGACCGGTAGAAATTGGTTCCGTGGCTTCTTAAAGCGTCTGGTATGCTCGCGTGAGAGCGTCTCAATCTAATAAATTCATGGAGGAACGCCGTCCGCGTTCTCACAGGCTCCTCTGGAATATCGAAGCAATTCCTACCACTTCCGTGTGATCTCTCGACCGCAAATCGAGTGTACTAGAGCGCCATTGTCTCTCCATCCTCCTGCATAAAATGTTTTTCGTCCCCTCGTCGTCTTGTGCATTTCTCTAAAATCATCCAGCTACTTCCAGCTATCCTCCTTCCTCTTTCGTGAAAGCGTTAATCGCCGATTGACGACGCTTCTCATTCACGCTTTCCAAGTTTAGAGAGCAGCTCGATCTTAATCACTCGACGAATCTTTAGTATCGTTAGTTAGCTTCTTAAAAAAAAAAAGAAAAAGAAAAAAAGGAGGGAAAGTTTGTCGTTTGATTTCATAGCTGATGATGATTTTCGACGAATCGGAGATCTTTTTATTAGAACTTCATTGGAAGTATGAGATTAAAGGAGATACTGGTTAGAGTATACCACCTTTCGACAATAGATAATTTTCTTATCTTCCGCACACATGCGTATCTTGAAACCTTCGAGGAATAAGAATGGAGGAGGGTTATCATCGAATTTCAAATTGTCATCATTGTCTGATTCATTTCGAAATATTTATAATTTTCCAAACGATGAAATTTTTACAATAAAATATCTTGTTATAAGTAGATTGCAGATATTCACGCATAGATATTAAACATCCAAAAATTTAGAGAAAACACATGATATAATCAAAAGGATATAAAATATCCAAAAAGCAAAGTACGTTTTACAACACTTAAAAAATAAATTAGATCTTTATTTCAATTCCATTTCTGTATTCATCAAATATATTAGACCAATACGAATATATACGTATACCTGCACTTAGGAGATTAAAAATTCTTCTTCTTCTTCAAAAAAAAAAAATAGAAATTAATTCAATACAAAAGTATTAAATTCTATTTCGGATTAGGAAAGAAGAGGAGATACAGGAGGCGCGCAGGTATAGGAGCGGGACGAAGGCATGAATGAAATCGCGCGTGCCGCTTGCACGGGTTGCGTGACGTCGCGCGCCACGTGGTGGGGGCGAAGGGGAACGTGTGGACGCGGCCTAAAGCGTGGGTGGTTTGCGGGCCACCGATTCACCTCCGGGGCGGACGGAAGCGTCGCGTGCGCGTGTGAACGAGCCAAAAGGGAAAACGCGTGCATCGGCGGGGCCGCGTAGGCGGAGTCGATCGCGATGAAAACGGTAAAAGCCGCACATGCGCTTTATTTAAGGAGCCACCCACAACGTGCTTCGTGTCACGTTGCCACGTCCTCGATTTTCATTCATATTTCCTCGCCCCGTTTTCCACTCTCCACTTTTCTTTCCAACTTTTCTTTAAGAGATATTCGATCTGTTAAGAGAATTTGTGAAAGAACGAATCGAGTTTTATCTTTTTGGAACTCGTTCGAGCGAGTTAGGTTAGGTTTACGGCGGGAAATTCAATATTCGTGTTGTTTGAGTAATTCAATTTGGTTTCTTTCTTCCCTTTTTTTTTTAATTTTTCTTTTGATCGATTTTTTGAAGTAGATTTCGACGAATTCACGATTTTTCATGGCAGGAAATTCCATGGATCATTTGGTAGGAAGTTTTGGTAGCATAGTTTGATATAAGTTATTACGAAGTTTTGCGTAGTTTAAAACGAAGTTTCGAAACTTTCGACGGTAGAATCTTGCGTTGGAATCTTTGCGTTGGAGGCGCATGCAATTCGTGCTTTGGAGCGGATAATTTCACTTGTTGCATTTCTTTGAATTTTTCTAGAAAATATATATAACACGGAAAAATAAATTTAATAACGGTTGAAATTATAGCGGTGTTAAAAAGTGGAAAAGATCCAGGAATCATGCGTGCCTAAGGCGATCTTTAATGGAAGAACATCTTTTTGCCCGAGGTGTTTCGCATCGCTGCCAGTCACACTGTTTCCGTTTCGATGTCGAATCGGAGTAGCCGTCTGTACGATTCGGTCCAGTTGCGCGATCAATAAAAGCATCCGGCAAAAACGACTCACAATGAAAACCCGGCTGAAGGAAATACCCGTGGCAATTAAAACGTACATCGAAAAAGCATCGAGATTTTTCAAGCCTCCTTTCCATCGCAAAAAAATTTGACCATTTAATCACTATACTCCAATACCACCCATCTCTATCCGAATCTACTTAAAAAATCATAAATCCAAAATTGAAAGACCTCGCAAGAAATCTGTCGAAAGATTCTTACATTCTACTCCCTAATTTTCTAAACCATATCTCGATAAATTCTTCGATCAATATTGTAATTATAATCTCCAAATCTATTTGGATCAAAATTGATCACAATCGTCGCATACCTCGAAATGCAAAATAATCATAAATCCAAAATGGAAAGAAACCTTTGAAAAAAATACTCGAGGTAATAAATTTTTTAACTTCTCACTTTCTATTCTCAAATTTTCTAAATTCTAAGAATCTAAAATTTATAGGCACAGATCTATCTAAATCATAAACTCAAAATTGCGATCTATGCTATCTCGAGATGATCTTAAAAAAAAGGAAAAAAATGGACGAAACCGAAAGTTGAAAAGTCCGAGAAGAGAGTCATCGACATTTATAGCTATATGTATACGTGCGAATGACACGGTCAGGGATGAAGACCACCTAACGTCACGATCGCAACGAGATAAATAATCACGATGGGTGGGCGCCTCGCGCCTTTCCGTGCACGGGCCACGGGTTACAGGCACACCTTATGGGTCCCTGTAGGGAGTCTGTTGGCCTCTGTTGGCCCCCATAAGGTGGTACAGAGCTCCAACCGTGTGTGAGAATCCATTCCAGTCGATTTCACAGGGGTTGCAGGGGGTCTCTCCCTCTCTCTTTTTTCCCCGGTGGCCTCTTCTATTTTTCTTCCTTCCTTCCTTCCTTCCTTCCTTCCTTCCTTCCTTTCTTCCTTCCTTTCTTTCTTTTTCCTTCCACCTTATATTTTCCCAACATCACCGCACACTTTTTCGACTTGTACACGTATAGAGATCTGAAGGCGAACCGTTCGATTTGGATCCCCCGATAGAAACCCCGCTGGCGAACCTTGGAAATAGGTTTCACGAAAACTATGCGCCGTGCCGCTTCTGTTTTCTGCGACGACCAGTTAACAGCTTGTTAACTGCCGTTGGATATCGCTTCGAGGAAGCAATACGCCCTTGGTTTCCTCGAATATTGGCTCGATAAATGGAACTGGTATATAGGGTGGCTTGGCAACCCGTGAGATTTCCATCGATTAGATTTCCATAGATTGTTACGTAAATAATCCATCTTGCGTGCAAGCCAATTGTTAAAATTGTGAAATTGTACGTGTATGTGTAATTGTGCAGATATTTTAAATTGTTCAAAAATTAAGAAATTTTATCAAACTATTAAAAATTTTATTTCAAAGGTGCTCCAATTTTTAAAACTAAGAATTTTATTCAAAGATGCTCCAATTTTTTTTTTTTTATTATATTTACATTTCACGACTCCAAAAAATTTTTAATTCTTACAACTTGATGCTAAGAACTTTGAAATTTGTCCAAGAAAATTTTATCCAAAGGTGCTCTAATTTTATTTTTTTTTTTTTTAGTACATCTACATTTCACGACTCCAAAATTAGAAATTTGTAATCCTTGATGTTAAGAACTTACGTTTTTCACGACTTAAAATCATGCCTTCCCTTTTTACACGATTCTTACAATCTCATCGTTAACCTTAAGCCTCTCGTGAAGAGTCACAGATATCTAATAACATACTTCCTAACATTCTAAAACCAATCGTTCAATCTATGCAAAACGAGCTAACTTTTAACAACTTCGTCGCCAATCTCGCATAGGAAGTGATATCCTACAAATAATCCTTGTACGTTTCCTGCAGATCCTCGAATCACCCCCTCCCTCCCACCCCTATCCTTCTTTCCATCTTCACCCCGTCATCGAATCTGCAAAACCATCGTTTTTACCATCGTTTAATCCAACAGTAGCCTTAACAGCAGCCTCTCTCGTCACCAATCGCTCGTAATACAACCGTCATAAAGTACCCCACCCCCCTTCCCCCCTCATCGTCTTAAAATCCCTGTTAAACCCTTCTTAAATATTTTCGACCAACAATTTTCGAACGTCCCTCAAAGAGCCCCTTAAAACCGATCATCCCCTCCCCATCCAAGCGAAACGGGACAATTCTTATAATATAATAAACGTTGGCAAGCTCGGTCCTCGAGTACCTCGCGTGGGACAGCTCCTATACCTACCACACGTATCAGCTGCCTCGTAGAAAACGAGGTGGACGAAAAGGTTAAATAGGTGCGAGAGGTAGCCGGAAGGTGGGTGTACTCTGTTAGTGTGTGATCCCGCCTACCGTCCAATGCGGTCGCTGGTTTCCCAGGGGACTCCCTGGCCTCTCGCAGCCGGCTTTTGTCGTCGTCCCTTCTCCTTCCTCCACGTACGGCGAACACTCTTTCAGGAGGTTTCAGGAGGTGGACGTTGGTGTGTCGCTTTTGCATCGTGCGCGATAATAGTCACCGTGGGTTCCCGGTTTAGTGCGCGTTTATACACTCGGCCGTGTTCCTCGGTGGCCGGCCTCGCGCGAGCACCACCAGCCGCCACCGGATCGCCGCCAGTCCTTGCGATCGAACGATCGAGACCGGATCGATAAACTCTCCTCCTTTCCAGCCTTGGGGATCCGAGTGTACCGAAGCTTTTCCACGCTTTGCGACTGGTCACGTGGCGCGTCCCATCTTTTAACTTGCAAGTTTCAAGACTGATATTTTTTTCTTGGAGCAATTCTCGAGAAGAGATCGAGCTTCGCTTTGGCGATTTTTCTTTGGAATTCTGTTTTTTTTTTTGTTTTTCTTTTTTTTGGGGGGGGGGTCATTTACGTATCATCGTGTGATACGTAAGCATTGTCGATGGTGTTCGAGTTTTGGAAGTTTTCGTAAGGGGTTAGTTTCGAAGAGAATTTTTAAAATAATAAGTTTTGGAAGAGGAAACAGTTGGGAAGAGACTGTCGAAGAGGAGTCGAGTGTAGTGAAGAATCGACAGTGACAGCAGGCTGATTATGATTATTGTAGATGATTTTTCATCGTCGGGAATCAATTATAATCTATTTATAGATTTTGCTCGATTGAACGGAATTCGAGGAACCGAAGAATCCGAAGGGACAATTGTATTAATATTGGAGGAATTGGTATCGAAGATTAGCTAATTGGAGACTAATTTCTTTTGAGTAATTAACTCGATTCATTCGATTTCAAAAAAAGTTTGTAATGAATAATCTGTAATGAATATTCTATTATCGAGTGATGGTTCTCTGATAAATGTATATATTTATAACAGTCTTTTTTTTTTTTTTTTTTTGGAATCATTTATCGTTACTCCAAATTTCAAAATTTCAAAATTCGGAGTAGATTAATTGAACAACTCTTTTTCGAACTGGTATTAATTGGTGATGGTGAACGGGTGTGAATTTGAATATACAAGGGGTGATTGAACAGGAGAAGGAAGGACAAAATGTTGTTCAAGGGAAATAGTTCGAGATTGGAGTTGTTAATAGGCAAAATCCAAGCGCACAAGGAACCTTCTCAGGAGGAGCAGCATAAGTCCAAAGGTATTGTTCCTTTTCATATATTACTTAAATATAAGTATATTTATTTTTATTTTTGCTATAATATAAAAAAAAAAAGAACTAGAAATAATTTAGCTGTAAAGTCGCACGATTTTTTTATTGCAACAGTTCAGTAGAATTGTAAGTAGAATGATCGATTAAAATATCTTTTTATTTATTCGACTACGCGATTTTTCTTTTTTTTTTTTTTTTTTCTTTCTTCACGCGAACGTATTTCAATCGCTTACCCTTCGTTTCATACGTCTCCTCAATTTCAATCTGATCCGATAATTGATGGTTAAGTTCCTCGCTATTAAAAGTCTTTCACGATGATATAATATCATCGACTGTCTAATAGAATTATCCGAAAGCTTCGCAGTTGGAGAAGCATATTTAACGCTGTCCAATTTAAAACTCGGAGATGGGCATCATAGATCACAATTATCAAGTTTACGCTTGTCAGAATGTATTAATATACATCGTCGTAAAAATTTTATATATTAAATTTTAGACGTAGATATTTTAAATTGATCCAGTAACAAATTTAAGAGAATTATTAATCGAAGGTGGGAATAATAAATTAAGAAATCCTTCCATTTTATCGATTATTATTATCGACTATTATTAGGAATCGAAATAAAAATCCTAGTTCCAACAAAAATTTTTTCCGATATAATTGGCAATATATATCAAAATGTAATTATCCTGAAACACTATCTATCACCAAAATATTCAAATTTCATCTAACTGATTGATCAATCTATTCAATCAAATTTCAAATACCTTCAAAATCTCTAAATCTCTAAATTATGTATTACCAAAAGCCTCCTAAAAAAGTCCCTAAACGATTCGATCGATCGTCAAAATCTCTAATTACCTAATTTCCTCGAAACATTTAAAAAATTCATATCCTTAACAATCATCAAAAATATCCAGCTCAAGAAATCACGCTCAACATAAATTATCCACTGCCAAAATCCCCCAAAAATAACCCTAAACGATTCGATCGATCGTCAAAATCTCTAATTATCTAATTTCCTCGAAACATTTAAAAAATTCATATCCTTAACAATCATCAAAAATGTGAATCCAACTCAAGAAATCACGCTCAACATAAATTATCTATTGCCAAAATCCCCCAAAAATAACCCTAAACGATTCTATCGATCGTCAAAATCTCTAATTACCTAATTTCCTCGAAACATTCATATCCTGATCTCTTAAAAATCATCGAAAATACGAATCCAGCATCAAGGAATCAGCTCAACATAAATTATTCATTGCCAAAATCTCCTAAAAATAACGATCGATCGTCAAAATCTCTAATTTCTTCGAAACATTTAAAAAATTCATATCCTTAACAATCATCAAAAATATGAATCCAGCTCAAGAAATCACGCTCAACATAAATTATCCACTGCCAAAATCCCCCAAAAATAACCCTAAACGACGATTCGATCGATCGTCAAAATCTCTAATTACCTAATTTCCTCGAAACATTAAAAAAATTCATATCTTGATCCCTTAACAATCATCGAAAATACGAATCAAAGGATCGCATCTTAAAATCTCGAAATCCCTAAATTATCGAAAACTCTCCCCCCCAAGAAAAGCGAAGGAAAATTTCCAATTATAATCGATCGCAACCGAATCACACAACCGTGACACGTTTCGATCGATCAACGATCGTGGATAAAAATATTGATCCGAGCGCGAGAGACGGCGGTTGTTACGCCAATGTCGATGAAAAAATCCGCGCAAACCACTGGGGCAGAAGGGGTTGTCAGAGGTTCGCGTGCTAACATAAGTCACAATTAACGAAGGCGTTAAGTCGGCCCCCTATTAATAAGCGTGGTCGAAGCGTCCTATAAATAGCGACGGGCACGAGGTGACAACATTATACGCGGCCACATGCGACCACAGGGAGGCTGTATGGGCTCGCACCAACACTGCTACAAGATAAAAACACAATGCAATACGGCTGGCATCGGCAGGTCGCAGAAAAGAGCTGCCAGTGTTAAGTGCGACTATTTTCGCGTCGATGACACATCGCCGCTGATTGGACGGAATCGAGACTCTAAATAAAATCCCCTTCGATCCTCCTTCGAGCCCTCGCATCCTTGCCTCCTCTTCGTTTTCGCACCCCTTTTTCCCTCTCTGCTCCAAACATTCCTCACCCTTTATGCGGAGGTCCCTGCGAACATTTTAATTATCGAGAATTGTTCTCGAGAACGGTGCTTTTTTCGCATCGTTGCAACACTTTGATTCGGGTATCAGGATTCTAGGTAAGATTAATCGTTGCGATTCTTTCTTTTTTTTTTTTTCAAGAAATACTTTGATATCGATATTGGTCTTATCTAGATTCGATTAGGTGTCTTGGAAAATTTTAAGAGGATGCATCGTTCGGTTATACAAAAATTTATCCGTCAAAAAATATGTTTGAATATGTTTGAATACGAGTTGTACGTTTTTCGCAGTTCGATCTCAACCCCTCTTCGTCCAAGTGTGGGATAAAAAGAAATAGATTATCGTTTCGAGGATTCGTGCCCGAATTTTTACGCAACGAAAAATAATAAAAGTAAGGAGGGAAAAGTTGGAGGGATCGTTGTTCGAGAATGGGAGAGGTCGGCCTTCGTCGAAGATGAAGAGACGTTTAAAAGATTTCGAAGAACGATCGGATCTTTCCATGAATGGGCTGACGAAAGGCTTGATCCTGATTTGTTGGCAATCGCAACCGAATTGTTGACGACGGCGGGATCAGCTGGGTGCTTTCGTACACTCGATCGGCAGCTCGGTTTATATTTATTGCACGCTCACCCGATCTGCCGCGTCTCTTTTTCCCTTCGAGAAGAGGCGCGCGTGAGTCATGCTGGATGCCAATTGGGCGAGTGCCCCGTTCCCGTCGCGGTCCATGTTGCACAATTGCAGGAACACCTGATTTTTTTCTACACTCGCAATCGTCGAGGCACGCCGAGAAATCGTAGCCGTTCCTATGAAATTGCAAAATAATACCAACCCGTATATAAATATCGCGCATCGAGAAATGAAAAGAAATCAAAGAGAGAGAGAGAAAGAGAGAGAATATGAAAGAAACAACATAGAATTTAAACGCGGAAACTTAGAAATATAATTTGAAGATGTATGGAAGAATGAAGGAACGCAAATATAGAATATAGAAATTTAAGGGAATGAGAATTTTAAAACGATTTTCTAACATTTGGAAATTTGGAAACAAAAAGAAAAATTAGAAATATGAAGAATTTAATTAATGACGGAAATTTTTAAACTGCTGAAATTGAAAATTTGTTAAAGTTTACGGGAAACAGCGTTCGACGTTCTAGTGCGCGATTCGCGCAAAAATCTTGGAGGCGACGGCTCGAACGATCGTTTGAAGTCGCAGTTGCTAGTCGCGATCCCAGAAAATTAAAGCGTGGAAAACGGTGGCGGAGGACGCGTGGGCGGAGGATGCGACCCATTTAAACGGATACACGAGTCCGATCTCGTTGGGTGTCTCTCGCGCTCGCGTTTCAAGGAGCAGAGACGGCGGGATTCCGCAAAATCTCTTAAATTCAGTGGTGGGTGTCGGATCCAGCGTGTGGACGGGGCAAATGAGGAAACGGCCAACTAGCCGAGTCATTTCCACCGTTTACCAGGGCCACTTTGCTCTATCCGACCCGGTACGAGTCTTCATTCTTGCCAATTATTAATTATTCCACTCGTCCGGATCTCTCCTTTTTGTCACCGGTTTTCTTCGTCTACGACGACTACGTCGTTTCTTTCGTCTCTCCCTGTCTGATCGTTCAATTCTTCTTTCCAATTTTTCCAATTATGATGCGTATCGTATTAACCGAGATCAATGAAAATTAACCTAACTTATCGACGAATAAACGAAACCTGTTTTACATATAATACTATTTTATTGAGTTTTCAAAAACTTATCGTTCGATTCGATAAAAAGAAAAACTCGACAATCCGTTCTCGCGGAGCAATTATGTGTTTACTGCGTAAATATTGGACAACAGATCGGTTGGAACGGAGATGGAAAAATGGAAAAAGCGAATAATCGCCCATCGCGTATCAATCAATGAAAATTAATCTAACTTATCGACGAATAAACGAAACCTATTTTACATATATTACTATTTTATTAAGTTTGCAAAAACTTCCTTTGATTCGATAAATATATAATTCGATATATATATACTATAATAATTATAAAAAAACTCGACAATCTGTTCTCGTGGAGCAATTATATGTTTATCGCGCAAATATTGGACAACAAATCGGGGATGGAAAAGTAAGCTCCAGAGCGAGCGATCTATCAATGAAAATTAACCTAACTTATCGACGAATAAACGAAACCTATTTTACATATATTACTATTTTATTAAGTTTGCAAAAACTTCGTTTGATTCGATAAAAACTATAATAACTATAAAACTCGACGATCTGTTCTCGTGGAGCAATTATGTGTTTACTGCGTAAATATTAGACAACAGATCGGTTGGAACGGAGATGGAAAAATGGAAAAAGCGAATAATCGCCCATCGCGTATCAATCAATGAAAATTAACCTAACTTATCGACGAATAAACGAAACTTATTTTACATATATTACTATTTTATTAAATTTGCAAAAACTTCGTTTGATTCGATAAAAACTATAATAACTATAAAAAAATCGACGATCTGGTCTCATGGAGCAATTATATGTTTATCGCGCAAATATTAGACAACAAATCGGGGATGGAAAAGTAAGCTCCAGAGCGAGCGATCAATGAAAATTAACCTAACTTATCGACGAATAAACGAAACCTATCTTACATATAATACTTACTATTTTATTGAGTTTGCAAAAACTTATCGTTCGATTCGATAAAAAGAAAAACTCGACGATCCGTTCTCGCGAAGCAACCATGTGTTCACCGCGCAAATATTGGACAACAGATCGGGGATGGAAAAAGAAGTTCCAGAGCGAATGATCGTCCATCGATCAATGAAAATTAACCTAACTTATCGACGAATAAATCTTACATATAATATTTATTATTTTATTGAGTTTGCAAAAACTTATCGTTCGATTCGATAAAAACTATAATAAGAAAAACTCGACGATCCGTTCTCGCGGAGCAACTATGTGTTCACCGCGCAAATATTGGACAACAGATCGGGGATGGAAAAATGGAAGAAGCTGGAGAGCGAAGGATTCCCGCGAGGAATGCGCTTTTCTTCTATCCGTGAGGACGACCAGTCCTCTCTGGTGGAGGATGAACGACGACGAAGCATCTTGACAATGTTCACGGGTTAATGGTACCAGTTTCACCGCATACTCGTTACGAAAACGATATAAAGGGACATGTAACGGGGAAGGTGAGGTCAGCCAGACTCTCGTAATATTTCTACGTGTTCGTTCGAGTTCGTAAGGTTCATTTATGGAACTGGTTCGTCTTACGACATTTATAAACCTGTTCCCCGAAAAGATCGCTCGTACGAATGTTCGCCACTCTCCTCGTTCCGCGTACGAAACATCGACACGGCGTTGCTCGCCGATCGACACACTCTGTTCCTCAAAACAAAGATCTTTGCTTCTTTCTTCGCCTCTTCGTTTCTTTGCTTTCTTTGATTTTTTTTTTTTTTTCTTTTTTAGTTTTTCGATTTCCTCTTGTTCCCTTTGCTTGTTGCTATAATCTTAGGTTTTTTTTTTTGTTTCATTTGTTTCTTAGTTTCTTCTTGATTTGTTTATTTCATTTTTTTTTTCACAAATTCTTCTAGGTTTCTTCTTTCTCTGATTTCTTGACTCCTTTCTTTTCTGGTTCTCAGATTCCTGAATTACTAGATTTCTTCTTTCTCTGGTTTCTTGGCTTCTTGACTCCTTTCTTTTCTGATTCTTGGATCCCTAAATTCCTAGGTTTCTTCTTTCTTTAGTTTCTTGACTTCTTAATTTCTTTTCTTGGTCCCTTCTTTAGGTTCCTTACTAACTTGTTGACTTTTTCCCTTCCTAGACGCAGAATTATCATTGCAACAATAATTCATCGTAACGAAAAATCGCGGAAAAGTCTTTCAACGGGGTAATCCCTCCAATATTACATCACACTTCTCCTTTCCCAACATTGATACAAATGGTATCCGTTCCATTTATCCACCGCAGAGGGAGGCAAGCATTTGTATCCCTTATCCACGATTTCATCCGATCCCTAATTAAATAAATCGCGAAGAAAAAGAAATATTCGCGTAATATTCTCTTTCTCTCCCATTTGATTGAACGAGAAATTCAAGCGTTCCCTGTTTAAATTGCAGAGGCGTTGGGGACCGGAAGTTCGTCGTGGCAGAGCGAGGATGGCGGACCAAACTCGCGGCGAGGCGGCGAGACGCCCTCGTCTTGCGCGACCCCGACGTCGGCCAGTTTCCCGTCGGAGCCAGAGGTCGACGCCGACGTCGGAGTGAACGCCGACGGGAGCAACGCGACAGCCCCTTACCCTTGCCAATTCTGCGACCGCACGTTCCCCCGGCTTAGCTATCTCAAGAAGCACGAACAGGTATCCACCATTATTATTACGTTATTTATTCTTTTCCTCCTCCCTCCCCCCTTCGCTCGACCCTTCCAACGGTCTCGACGAACGGTCGCAGCCACCTAATCCGCTGTGTTTGTATTTTTGCATCTCGTTTATTACGGTTTAGAAATTGCGACCATAACCCTTTGGAGAAAGATATTTTTCCATCGTTTTATTATTATTATTATTATTTTTCCTTTAGAAAATTAGAGAATCTCCAAAATATTTTCAATAATTGGGGTTTTCTATTTTCCTTTCATCTTTTCACTGCGAGGATTATATATGTATGTATATATATATATATATTTGGAAATCAGTCATTTATCTTTTTCCACTGCGAAAATTATATATATTTGGAAAGTGATATAATTCAAATATTTTTTTATTCTTGGTCTTTAAAATTATAGAATTATCAATCGTTTATCTTTTTTCAAAATTATGTATACATATTTGAGATTTTATTTGAGGAAACGAGTAATGCAAAATAATTCAAAATTTATGATATAAGTATCTATAATCACTTCTCCAAATTTCAAGGTTAAATATATATTCCAATCGTGTTATTTTTATACTATCAACGCTCCTTGTAATTCAGCGAATATCGTCGAAGAACGGAAACGCGCGTTGCGCCACTTGAGTGGAGGCGCGAAGGACGCGTGGCCTCTCTCTCTCTTTCTCTCCCTCTCTCTCTCTTCCATTTTTCCATTTTGCGGTGGCGGTGGCATTAGAGAAGACAGATTCTCTTCCGCGTCCGAGTCTACGTCGAACGGGTCATCTTCGGGTCAAAATCTGTTCCATGGCCCATAACAGGTTGTACCGGTCAGGTTGTTCGTCCAGGTGCCTCGGCTTCTTCTCTACGCTTCTTCGAGCCTCGATATAAAAGCCGCTTCCACATACGCGAGCTGAATCGCGCCTCGCTTCGAGCAAAGATACGAGGCCGATAACGGAGATAAATTTCGTTCAGGGGCTATGAAATCTTCCTTCATTGCCTCGAGTATTTTTTTTTTTTTTTTTTTTCTTTTTCTCTATCTCGCGTCTCATCCTCGACCACGAGGAATCAGGAAGAAAATTTCCGTTTACGGAATTTCGAGAAGAATATCCTTTTACTCGTTTGAATCGATCGCGATTAAAGTTGATCGAATTAGAGAATTTCGAAGACGTATAAACGTTTTTCGTTGTTCTGTCAAAATAGCTTTGGAAATGGGATCGAATTTTTTTTAACTTTTCCCAAATTTCTAGAAAATAATTTCGAATTTCGAAAAGTGAGATATATGTATATATATATAGAAAATCTTTAATAATATTTTCCATTGGAAAGTAGAAAATGAATAATATTAATATTGCATTCTCGATAAAAATGTTTAACAGTTTTATAATTATACAGTGTAGAAATGACAATGTTATCGAGTTTGAAATAAAGTTATCATTCCGTTGGATTGAGTCGAGCATCATGATCGAGAATAATGACAAGACAAGAGAGGAGATTTCCAGCGGTTGGAGGAGTAAGAGGATCGACGGGGCAAGAAAGTTCCTCGGCGAGGAATTCCCTCCGGTGGTTGTCACCCAGGTAGATCAGTGTGACCGATATGATCGCGAACGGGCCGGGTCATTCTCTTTGTACTCTCTCTTTTTATGCTCTCCTTTTTTTTTTTTTTTTTTCGAGTCGGTCTTCGTCCAACGAAGTAACCTCGGCACGTACGACTTTCGAGCCGTCGGCTCCTTTGAAGAGACAATCCGGACGGAAGGGCGAAGCGATCGCCTTCTTCTTCAAGACGTCTGTATCGCGACGTCTATAAGGTTTTTCACGGATACGAAGGAAATATAAGAAGAATACGAAAGAGATCGGGAATTTTTGAGAAATTTTTTTTACGGGACGACGTGTCTCGAAAGGAGGTCTTCTCGAAAGGAAAATGAAGAGAAATTTTGGGAAATTTTAAAAAATTTAAAAATTTCGCAAGATTTTCTTTAGATCGCGTTGAAAATTTCATTTTTTCCTTTCTTTGAAAATTTCGCAGAATTTATTTTCTTTAGATACATTTTACGAAATTTTTATAGAATTTCTTCCCTCCTTAACCCTTCCATTCAATTTTTTTCCAAAAAATTTCTTCTATTTGACGAATAAAATCTTTATAAACGATATTCTCATAAAATTATTAATCGAGTCGCATCTATAGTTGTATCTATTTACTTTTAAGAAAAATGATCGATATATGCAAATGAATGGTCACAATACCGTAACAATTACGAGTAGTATCGATATGTATATTCGTTCCTTTTAATGTCATAGAGTCACGGGGACCAAATGCCATACAGGTGCAGCTGGTGTGCCAGATTATTCAAACATAAACGCAGCAGAGATCGACACGTAAAGCTTCATACAGGAGACCGAAGATATCGATGCACGCACTGCGAGGCTGCTTTCTCCAGGAGGTAACGTCTAAAACTCCTATTATACCACTATTATCGTAACTTCTACCTCTCTCTAAACAATATCTCTCCCCAAATCTTCACCCGGAATTCCTTTATCTTTCAAACTCAAATCTCCAAATTAATTATTTACAAAAAAATCACTTTTTGATATCCCATGTGACAAATGTGATAAATTGTAATTATCTCGTAATTTTGTATTTATCTGTAATTTTCCTAAAAAATTTATTCTTATTATTGTACGATTATTGTACAGATTGTACGATCGAAGGAATAAATATTCGCGATCCAACAAGAAGAACAATCCAATCTGAAATAGACAAGCGGGAACGAAAGTGGATAGGCCCCGATATTCCGATCCATCGTTTGACAAATGAATAATGATCGCGCGACGACCACGGCTCCGGCTGGCATTAGTCAAGCTTACTCTCTTACGTGACTCTTTCTGTATTTACCACCTTCCCATCCCTCCCCTCCTCTCTCTCTCTCTCTCTCTCTCTCTCTCTCTCTCTCTCTCTCTCTCTCTCTCGCCTCTTCCCCTCCTCCCCCTTCCTATCTTTATTTCTCCCTTTTCTCTCGCATTCAACCCATGGGTTATTGAAATGCTAAGCTGGTATAAAGCAGGCGGATCCGCAAGGGTGGCAAGCACACGCACCTTTTCGTCCTTTAAGTGTCCACATGGTCTTCTCGAAATATACACACGGGGCAATGTATATATATATACTATATACGTATAGATACGTGAATACGAGAAGAAGGGGACCCTCTTCTCTGCGTTCCCCAGCTGAGTGGACAGGTAGGCGCATAGGTGTTACGGGACAACAGGTAGAACATTAGTCAAGTGCCTCGTTGCTCCTCGTCCACCGAAAGCTACGAGCCCTTACGTCGCGCTCGTGACTTCCATTAGATTTCTCACAGATTTCTTCTTTTCTTTAGATTTATCTTTTTTTGTTTTTCTTTTTCTCTCTGTTTAAATTAACTTGTTAAATTAAACGTGAAAATGATTCTGAAACAGAGATTAATAATCAATAAAAGTTTTTTGAAACTAGTAAAAGTTTCAGCCGAATCAATACAAAAGATTTTTGTAGTAAATTTTTGTAGTAAAGGATCACTCAAATTAAAAATTTCTGTTGGACGTTCTTCGAAATTATTATTTCGAAAAATTATTTATATTTATGCCAAGGAATACTTGTTAAACTATGTAATAAATTTTTTTTTTTAAATTCGAAAAATTTCTATCAGACCAATTTTGAACTGTTGAAAAAACGTTAAATGGGTATTTTCTTAAAAAAGGAAAGGAAAGGAATGGAAGTAAACAGAGTTTTAACAGAGACTTAGCCTGTCGGCCATTATTACAATCGCATTTCTGGATCTTTACGCCACATCTCTATTCGTTCTGCTCGACAGTCGGCTTGGGTGACCCAACAAAAGGGTGAAAACCCCTGTGGTTCTCTTACATAGATATCGTAACCACAGGAGATCCGAACGATCTCGAAATCGATCGAGATACATGCTCGACCAGTTGTTATTCCTAGATCATCTGCCATGAGAGAAAATAAAGCGAAAAACATCTCTTTCTCTTAATTTGTCGAAAATTATTATCCTCATCGATATTCACTCGCTTAAAACAATAGATATTATTTTCCAAAAAAATACTTTCAAAAATATTGAAATATTTACGTCATGCATCTTTCTTTAATAACGATACTTTACATCGTATTTTAACATTCGTGGCATTAGAACATTTTGTTGAAAAAAGAAAATAAATAATTTTTTTAAATATTCGTCAAATAGAAAGATCGAAAAAATTAAACTTAAAACGTATTTAAAACTACATCATATTAATATACGTCCAAATCTTTCTTTTTTCACGATTCTTAAACATCCTAAATATAACAATCTCTGAGCCATCCTGCGTAATAAACGTTCCCAAAAGAACGAAGGGATTCAAGGGATGTCGAAAAAGTTGTTCGGTTTCAATAAAAAATTTTTTTTTCTTCTTTTTCTTTTCTTTTTTTTTTTTTTTTTTTTGCCAAAAATTTTGCTAAGCAAAGCGCACAGAGACGATACACACACGATAATAGGACAGGTAGAACATAACCAGTCGATAATCCTGGCACATGAATTATTCAAACACAAAGTGCAAGAGCGAATTTGCCGTCTGTCTTCGTTTCTGAACGAGCCGAGACACTGACCGGTTGGACCAAACCGGTGACCTCGCCTTATAACGGATTTAGTTTTCCACCGGACGGATGAATTATTTATCCGTCGAGCGACACACGAGCAGAGGAAAATCGTTCAGCTATCGTTCACATTCTCTTTATTTTTGCCGAACATGCCACCGATCAATTTTTCTGATATCCGAGATTGATTTCACGTTTATCCTTTCCTTTATGATTGCTCGTTGCTCGAAGGAGATTTTTTTTTTCCTTGAAATTAGATTCGATTTTTATGAGAAAAGTAATTTTCATTTTGATATGTATAATTAATGATTATAATATAGAATTTTGATTTGGTTAAGTTTCTTTTCTTTTTTTTTTTCTTTTTTAAATAACTTTTCCTCGAATGATAATTCAACAAATAATAATTATTTTTCCATTAAAATTTTTAGCGACCATCTGAAGATCCATATGAAAACTCACGACACGCAGAAACCGTATCAGTGCACGGCCTGTTCCAGAGGGTACAACACAGCAGCTGCCTTGACATCCCATATGCAATCTCACAAGAAACATCATCAATCGCAAGGATCGGCCAAGGACATCGATTACGGTAGAAGAAGCGTGTCCTCTCACAGTACATCATCGCCGCCAGTACCGAGTTCCCCATCACCGTCTTTAAACCTCTCCTTGAACCCGAAATCCGGGTTGAAAAGCTCGCAGGGCAGTGTTTCGACAACGCCGATCCTAAATTCTCCATTGAAACTTGCCTGCATGTACTGCACCAGAGATTCTTTCAACTGCATGCAACAGCTCCAGATGCACGTGCATACAATGCATCAAGCTATCTTAAGCGGCGAAACTGTTGCGGTATCTCCATCGACCAATAGAGCCAACGAACAGATTGGTTATCAACATGGTGAGAAAAATTTAGATCGATCGGAAGGAACTTCGAAGGAGCATAATAGGAAATATCAAGATGATTCAGAGAGGTCTATGGAAAAGGATCATTATGAAAACGCGTTTACGTGCAATCAGTGTACGATGAAATTCTCCACATTAGGCTCTTTGAGAGATCACTTGATCTCGATCCATAGAACGGACAGTTTCAACTCTGCCTTGATGATGTGCCCTCTTTGCGGCATTCCCTGTGCTTCGGCAGCTGCTTACGCGGAACATTATGTTCTTCAACATTGTGAAAATCGATCGATAGCTCCCCTGGAAAGTAAAGACTATATAGATGCGAAAATGAACGGAAGTTACGAGTCTAAAAGTTCCAGAAATCAGAAATCTAGAGAACAAATATCTTCTTCTGAGCCAGCAGATTTAACTAGCAAGCATACCACCACTACGGAAAACAATTATTCAGCTGGTACTCTGTTATGTGGCCAATGTGGAGCAGCTTTAAAAGACTTTGAATCTTTTAGAGAACATCTGGCTAGACACCTTCAAGCTAATCATAGAAACGATGCTGTCAGACATTCTTGTCCCAAGTGTGAGGCCACTTTTCAAGACAGGGAAGATATGTTTGTGCACTTGACAAAGCATTATCTAGGTCAGATTAGTAAAGAATATGCCTGTGGTGCCTGCAAAAAGCTCTATCCCCATCCAGATCTTCTTCAAAGGCATTTGCTCGATAGTCATGCTCACCACCTTTACAGATGCGCTCTGTGCAGAGACACTTTTGATTCCAGAGTGGCGATACAAGTCCATTTTGCTGTGAAACACAGTCAGGAGTGTAGGATCTATAGATGCAATGCTTGTACGGTGTCCAATAACGAAAATTCGCCGGGTAATGCACCAGGAGAAGGAAAAAGTTTCTTTAGGAGTGAATCCGAGATGACAAATCATGTGAGAAATGTCCATGCACCTCCTACTGTATCAAATAACAGCCCTGTAGCCAGAAGTCCTGCAACTACTCCTGGAATAACTGGAAATTCCGGACCAAGATGTGTTTTCTGTGGAATTTGTTGTACTTCTGAACTGGAATTACAACTCCATTTGGCTAGCCATTCTGCTAATTTGTACAGATGTCCAGTTTGTAGAGAGGGATTTGCTGTAGAATTTTTGTTGGACAGGCATATTGCTCAAGCACATCATTCCAGTAATCATCAAGGTATTATTAGAAGTAGCTCTAGAGAAAATGGAAGGATTGGTAGACCGCCAAGATTGCAAGAAGAGGTATGTTCAAAACTTTAAATTCTAATTCAATTAATGCCTTTTCAATTATTTCATCTCTCTTTTGATTGAATTTTTTTATTATATAGACAAAATCTCAAAAAAGAGGTCGTTCTCCAGCATCCAGCAACAACAACACCGTAAATCAACGAGACAACAATAATAAACGTCCAAATTACTCCAATACATCTTCTCAACAGTGTGATCTCTGCGAAAGAGGGGAATTTTCTAATGAAACAGAACTCCAAGCCCACAAGAAATTGGTTCACACTCCAGCTAAGTTTCAAAATAAATCTATATCAAATCTCAGCATGACTTGTGCATATTGTGGAGAAGTATGTCGTTCTAGAACTGATCTAGAATCTCATACAAGGATTCAACATGCATCAAATGAACCTGGGGGCCGTCACAAATGCAATATTTGTGACGAAGTCTGTCCTTCAGGTGCAACTCTAGCAGAACATAAACTGCAAAAACACTGTAAAATTCAACTAAGTGACACGTGTATTGTTTGTCGAGGAAATTTATCTTCAGAATCACAATTTTTAGAACACGTTCAAAGACACAGTTTGGAAAACGTGGATCCTCAACAGAGATTAGATGGTTCTCTTCCCCATCTTCCTGCAGCGTGTGTAGTTTGCAGACAGACACTGATCAGCGATTTGGAATGTCGTCTTCATGCTAGACATCATTTGAGAGCTTCTACTGGTCCTCACAGTGTGGGATCTAGCCCTAGTCCCAACCAAAAAAATCAGAATCCAAGTTGTTGTCTTTGCTTAAGAGATTATTCTGGTGATGACTTTGTTAATTTGCCACCAAGTCATGTAAGTGGAGGAGGACAATCTTTGAGAGTCTGCAAGTCTTGCTATATTCGTCACTCTCAAGGTTTACCTATTTTGAATTCATATGAATCTGTTAGATCTAAATGTGATGATTCTTGGACATCTAATAATAAAGATGGACAATGGGATGGATCGAAAAATAAATGGGAATCGGAGAATAAATATAAAGAAAATAGAAATGGAATGATTGATAATAAGAGATGTCAAGATTGTGGAGTGAAATTTGAAGATTCTGAAGAGGTGGAAAAACATAGGATAATAGAGCATGAGAAGACTGGAGCTGTATCTAATACATATACGTGTATACAATGTCAAGTAATAAAAACTGCAATAATTAGATAAATATAAAATATAATAATTTGATATTTCGAAAATTTACATGAATTTATCACTTTTTAAATTATATGTAAAATCATAAATAAAATCTAAAGATCTAATGATCAATTCATTTATTTCCTTTTCAGATGTCATTCGCAACAGAAGCAAAGATTCAGCAGCATATAAAGAAAGAACATTTGGAAGTATCAGAAAAAACTTCCATGGAGGCATTACGATGTCATTTATGTTTATTTGAAGCTAATAGTCCATTACAGTTGCAAAGCCATTTGATAGAGCACACTTTTGCAGGATGTGCCGCTCTCAGCTGTTATATTTGCCAATCTCTTTTCACTGCACCTATTGGTCTTCAGGTATTATAAGAAATATTATTCTTTATCAATTAAATTATTAGTATTGTTATTTTCAAAAATAATAATATAATAACTTATATCTTTACATAAATAAATAAAATTTATACCTTTTCAAATATCTGCAATTTTTAATTTTTTAGAATCATATGCTTCAAGAACATGGTTTGGGTGCACGCCCATATGATTGTTCCCAGTGCACATTAAAATTTTTCTTCAGAGCAGAATTAGATCACCATATGTTAACATTCCATCGATCCGGAGACGTATCCTCGCCTGATGAAGATATACGAAACAATATTGAAACAAAACCAAGAAACACTGAAGAAAATAATTCTGATGAAAGAATAATGGTGAAAGAAGAATTGTTACCGGAAGGTGCAGACGAAGAAGAAGAGATCAACGTGGATGAACAAGTAGAAGAGAACGAGCAAAAGGAAGACAAACAGTTAGAATTCGAGACAAAATTAAAAACTGAAACCGAGGAAGAAAATATTCTTCAGTCTTCCGTTTCCGAGAAAATGGAATCGTGATTATTTCTCGTTGATCGAGAAAGTAAAAGGTTCGAATAAAACATAATTTTTTAATTAGTCTGAGACAAAGATATGATAAAGAAATTAATGACATATTCTTAGACTAAATCAAAGCTTAAATTATCTATTAATAATATATTAATAAACTGCACATATATTTTTGTTAATTTTATTTATAATATCTATTCTGTAAAAGAAAGACAATATGTTGATTTATCTTATTATATAAAATTATTGTTTTTTATTATATAGTTAAGTTTTTCGTTTAAATATAAAGAATAAGGATCTTTGAGAATTTTGTTTGAAAACTGTAGAGAAATCTTTTATTAAATGATTATTACAGTAAGAAAAGTTATTTTAAGATAATATTTATTCGATTTTTTGATTAAAATATGTTATATAAAAATGTTCTATATTTATTCATAGTTAATTAAAATTCTTATTTATAAATCTTTATTATATTAATAGTCCATTTTCCAATATGATTGCACGTTATTTTATTTTATTAGATTGCAAAATTATGAATGGAAATATGCAGTAAGTATGATTCATATATATGTGAAATCTCCAACATTTTGCAAATTGTCAAAATGGTACAAACTTGTAAACAAATTCGTATATAATATAAGTTTTTTTACTGATGATAGTTGTAATAATTTGTGCGGAGTAATTTTTTACCAGTCTAGAAAAATTTGAAAATTATATAATATTTTTTATTAAATTTTATTATTCTCTGTTACATTATTTGTACGTAAACGATTTTTTTTTTTTTTTGTTATTTATTCTGGTATATTTTACTCTGTACTGAATTTTAAAGATAAGTTATAACGCTAAACTTCATTGTTTTTAATACGTTGCTTATCTTAACATGCGTTAATTTTAACATCGCATAATATTACATTTAGTATGTTGAAATATGAGATTAATTTGAACAAACATTGTAACATAAAAACAATATTATTCTTATTGCACAAATAAAAAAGAGAAAGAAAAAAGTAATTATGTAATGTGTAATTGCAGATGCAATTTGTAAATATGTTGAATAATATTAAAATGTATTAATCAGCGTTTTATCAATTTTGACCGTTATTTTAAGTGACGATTATTATTAAAGCAAATGCAATAACTTGTCCATTAGACTTAGTAAATCAGGAAGATAGTTCTTTATAAAATAAATTATTATTCTAAATCAACAATTCTAACCATTTTATTCTTCCTATTATAATTATATATGTATAATAATTTATATTTAATAATTGTTTAGTGTTTTATTTAAATTTTTATTTGAAATATTGTAATTCAATTTTTTGAGTTTTAAAATTGTTGCACAATTTCAAGATGTTTCAGATTAACATCATTTTAATAGGAAAATAATTTTTTGTTTTTGAGATTGTTCTTATATCTTTTGAAGTATAAGTAATATTGTTATTTTTAATGACATACATATAATAAAATTCTATTTTATAATATATCATATAATTATGTATTAATATTAAAAACATTACTACATTATTACATTAGAATGTAATAATATATATGTATAGTAATATATATCTACTATTACAGAATGTAAAATAACATGATAAATAATTTTAATAAAAATGTATGTGAAAAGATATTGATTAATATAATTAATTTTGTTGAAAAAAGAAGTTATATTAATTTTATTAATTTTAAATTAACAAAAAAACTTACAATATTTATATAATTCTAAATTCTAAGTGATAATACAATAATGTATTATGTTTTGATGTTTTATATATACTTACAATATTTATTCTGAATATAAAATAATATTATATATCTATATATTTTTTTTTATAATAAATTTTAATTATATAGAATATAGTTTACTTATTAATTATTGTATTAAAATTAATCATAAATTATACTTTAATGGATTTTATGTATATATTTTGTAATTAATTTAGAGTAAAATATTAGATTATTTAATATTATTTACGAAATATATACAATCTTCATCTGCAAATTCCTGAAACATCAATAATTTACTTATGTAATTATTTTTTCATATATTATATAGTGCATTTAGAAATTGTTTTCTGAATAAATTTAAAAATTATTTAACCTGTCCCTATTTCTCTATACTTTCTAGCTTTTAAATTATTATTGTTTATTTTATAGAATTTTTTTATTTTGCATTATCTACTGCTCCCAATCCTCGAATTGCTCTTAAACCTCGGTTATTTGTAGGCACAGATTGAGATGTCTGATTATTTAATTCATTAGTTGAAGAATGACGCTCTAAAATAAATAATTTTGTTCATTCTTTAATAAATATTAAATTTACAGTTACATAAATTTTTTTTATCTTAAAATAAAAATCAATTTTTTCTCGAAAAAAATTAAAAAATTTAAAAATTCATTTGGAATTACCATCTTCTGTTCTCAATACAGAATTAACAATATCATAATCCTCTTGAATAAAAGTTTTATTCAATTGTGAATTATAAAATTTTTGTAAATTTACAGGTAATGTGTTAAAATTTCTACTCTCCAAATCTATTGCATATAATAACTTTTGACGAGATGTAGAACATATATTTTCTTTAATTAAAATTTGTCTTGCAGTGATCATTAAATCATTCAGTTTTTCTTTATGACTGTCATAAAAATGTTTGCCATGTACAATAATCTAGAAATATAAAGAAATATTAAAATAAATGTAAAATCAAAGTTTAACCTTCAGATACTTACTAATTCTATAAAAATTTGGATATCTTCTGAAGAAGCTATCTCTAATAACATTTCCATGTAATCCAGTAATGCAGATTGAAATCTAAGAAAGGACTGTGATGAATGCAGAATATAACTTAAATATTTAGAAAATAAACAAATAGCATTATGAAATTGTACTGTATTTTCTTGCCTTAGATCTTTCCTTCCTATTATATTTATAAAAAAATAAAAAATTCATTAATAAATATATTAATTTCAATTTTTTTAATTTTTGAATCAAAAATGTAAATAAAAAAGATACTTACTTTCGTAATCAATTTGAAATCGTCTTACTAAATGCTTATATAAACTTGTTTCTTCAGAATCACATACATTTTTGATTGTAGGATAATTATATATCATTAATAATTTTGCTCCAAAGTCCCGATTGTTTAAAGCATGTTGATAAAGTTTATCATGTATATCTCTGCAATTAATTAAAATCAATTAAAATTAATTTTTAAAGATAATTATTAGAGAACATAAGAAAAAAAGAATGAAACTAAACATTTTATTTTATAGTATTACTTTAAATTTTCCTTATTCACTTTCTCATTAATTAGTTTTACAAAATCTTCAGATTTTTCTGCTACATTTTCATTGTGAACGGTATTAATAAGATTGAGAAAATTCACATAATCTATATCATCAGAATATAATGATCTTCCTGGTCTAGATAATAAATTTTTATCATTTTGAGCCCATCCTCGACCACGACCAATTGACACCATTTCTACTTTGGAAAAAGTTTAAACTATGAAATAAAAATAAATAATAAATTTTTGCAAAAAGTATATATATTGTAAAAACTTTTAAATTAAGATATTTATTTATTTAAATCTTATATATAAAATATATACTCACTTTCAATATGAAAATTCGATGGAATAAACTGTATTATTTTTAATTAATATATTAAATAAGAAAAGCATAAAACTAATCATAAATCAGCGCCATCTCTTGAGTATCTGAATTTATATAGTATATATAGGTAAAGAAAGAAAACAATGAGAGAAAAATAAAATTAAAAATTGTGAAATCAGCGCCATCTTCAGAATGCTATAAATAAAATAGATATAGATAAGAAGAAAAAATAATACAAAGATAATATAAGAAATGATCATTAGCGCCATTTTTTGAGTGATAGACACAAAAAATAGAATGAATATATATTTTATGAACATGAAACACAGACTAGATATAGAAATGATATTCTTATATCTTATATTTTATATCTTATATCTAATCTGTAATAAAATATGGCAAAGTAATTTGATAAGAATTAAAAACCAACATCATCTTTTAAAAAACATCTTTCTTATTCAAAAATGGCGCTAAATTTAATTTTTATCTTATCTTTGAAGAAATGATTCTATTATTCAAAAGATGATGTCGAAAATCAATCCTTATATTCTTTGTCTTTTTTCCATTTATTTTTTTATTTACATGTGTTTCATTTAGATATTCTAAAAATAGCGCAAATTCCTTAATATTTAACTTATTTTTTCTATCTCTTTATTCTGCTTTCTTTCTTATATAATGTTATAAAAATACTAACAAAAAATTCTCTTTTCTAATTTTATGTTCCTATTAATTATTCGTATTTTCAAAAATCATATTCTTGCTAGATGATTACAGAAATATTTATTATATTTGTAATATAATTAGAATCTATATGGATGAATGAATTGAATGAAATGAAATGAAATGATTATGAATTGAATGAAATTAAAAATTTAAAAATTGAAAATATAAAAAATTGAATTAAAACTTTATTTCATTTATAGTATAACATAACATAGAATATTTTTACAAAACATAATATTTATATAAATAATATATATCTATCGTAAATATTGAAATTTAACAAATAAAAACTTTTTTTTAAACTTTACAAATTTCAACAAATGAATTGATTCAACAATTTAATTCTTAAATTTATTTACTGTTCAAATGATAAAAAGTGCATGAAAATTCTTGGCATAGTCGATAAACTAGAACAGAGACATAAAATCTTAAAAGATGGTAAGTCTACTTTATATCTTGTCTGTGATATTGTATATAAAATAAAACACTTAAGTTGTAAAAAATTACTATAAATTATTAATTCATTTTGTGTTTCCAAAAAAATTAGAAAAAAAAGAAATTCCTAAGAGTGATTCAAATCTCATATTTCTTATATAAAATAGCATATATTTATATAAAATAATAGATTACTAAATATTATTTATATAAAATAATATAATTTTTTATATAAAAAACTATTATTTGAATTTAATATTTTATATGTCTTACTTTATACATATACATATATGTATAAAAAGAAATGAATATATTTATTATATTAAAAATTATTAGATAATGATTAAAAATTAATAATAGTTAACTCTACCAAACTTATATGTACATATGTAAACTTTTATTTTTTTAATTATATTATTCTTATAATATTTTTTATTAAAATTTTATTTTCAATCAAATAGACATCTAAATTTAATAATAATTATTCATAACATAAAATATAATTGGATAATAAATTATTACATTCTTATCTAATAAATAATAATAATTATATGATTACAATGGAAAAAAAGTATTAATTATATGAAAGAAATATTTTTTATCTTAATCATTATTTAATAAAAAAATCAAACTTAAAAAACGAAATAAATAATTAGCATATTGAAAATTTTATGTCTTCTTTTAAAATTAGTAATTAATAGCAAACTATAAAAAGAAAGGGTTAAAAATTTGTTGACGATCATTTAACGCGCATGCGCCATTATATATGTATGATCACCGGACGATCGCCAGTCATCAATCGGTGATCTGTCATCTTCTATCGTTATAAGTAATTTTTAGCTATTTTTAATTTAATTCAGAAAACATTAAATTATTTTCTTACAATTAATAGTTTGAAAATATATTTCGAATATTTCAAGGTAATAGATATTAACGAAGAAAAGAAAAACATCACAAAGTGATCAAAAAGTGAGTGTGAATATTTATCTGTTCAAAGTCAGCGGATTTTGCCATGACGACAGAAGAACAATTTCAAGCGGCTGTTAATGTAATCAGGAATTTGCCAAAAAATGGTAAATTTTTTCAAGTATTCAATTTTTCAATTATAGTAATGTTTGATTTTTTGTTATGACTATTTTTAAAAAATAAAGTCATAACGTTGTTTATACATTATCATATTTAGTATAAAATACTTTATAAAACTGATAAAACATAGTAAATTTTTATTCTTTCTTTTTTTTTTTTAATTTTTTATTTTTCCTTTTAATTTCAATTTTTTTTTATTCCTTCGAAGTTTGTTTAAACTGGTTATTTTAATCAGCATATACATAATATGCACTCATTAAACCATTCGTACAAAGTCCGATTTGACGATTCAGAATATTTATTTCTTCTTTTCATTAAAATTATTGATATTTAGATTTATATCTTAAATTTTAAACAACAATAAAATATGTTTTTTATTAACTGTAATTTATTATATATTTATAATTTTTAATTTTTAATAAGTATAAAAATTATTTGTAACTAAATATACAATAAGAATTTAAAATTATCATTTTCTTTTTATCATGTAATTTATGGTATAATATATAGTATTTGTAATTATTTATTTAATTAAATTTATTTAATTAAGAATTCAAATACAATAAATTTGCTTTATGAATTTTTATTTTTTCTTTTTTTTTTTGGAAATCTTTTATTATTTTGTAAATGTAAACTAGATTGTTTGAATGCAATTATATTAAATACATTTTTAGTACTATTAAATTCATAAATATGCATATGTTACTTTCCATTTATTACATATGAATGTGTAAGTGTTCTCATTTCACTTTCTAACAGAGTAGAATGGATGAATTGCAGTTTGTATTTAAAATTGGAATGTTCTTTATAAACACAAATATATTTATGATTTGTATCTCTTGTTAAAAATTTATATTATTAAATATTTAAGATTTTATATTAATCAAATTTAGTAAAATATTAAATATAATTAATATAATTAAATTTAATAAATTATAAAAATTTATTCAATATATTCATACTTTTATAAAATTAATAATAATTTAATAATAATTAGATATAATCTAATATAAAATTTATTAATATACTATTTGGTTTTCCAATCAAAAATTCTACAATAAAATTGTTATTTAAATATTAGTCTTTTAATTTCAGGAGCATATCAACCTAGCAATGAAATTATGCTACGTTTTTATGCATATTATAAACAAGCAACAGAAGGACCATGTCAACAACCAAAGCCAGCTTTTTGGGAAGTGGTTAAAAAAGCAAAATGGGATGCTTGGACACGTTTGGGAAATATGAGTAGAACAGAAGCCATGAATAATTATGTAGAAGAATTAAAAAAGGTTAATTTTTATATTATATTCCAATAAATATTAAATGTTATAATATCTAAAAATTACTTAACATTTATTTATAATTTAACAGATTGTAGAAACAATGTCTTATACAGACAAAGTAGCTAATTTTTTAGACAGTTTAGATTCATTTTGCGAAAGTGTTCCACCTGAAGACTTGGAATTACTTCTTGGTCCTGTATTAGAACGTATGCGTTCACAACCTGGAATACCATTATCTGGTTCTCCTTTAGGTTTGTATTATTTATGAATAGAAATATTATATTTTATTTTTTATTAATTATCTAATATTTTTTATTAGTTATCTAATAATTTAACAATTAATGTTTAATATTTATATATAAGAAATTCAAAACAATTTAATTTTTACAATAATTTTTGCAATAATTTCTATCTATATAGCATCAAGAGAAACATCACCACATAGAGTTTGTAATATAACTCGGCACATTGCAAGTAGTTTAGAAACTAGCCCAGCCACTAGCCATGGTACAAGTCCACCTGATACTGATGGTGAAGAAGAATTTATAGATACTGTTGAAGTAAGTACTATAAATATTATAGACAATACATATTAGATATTTTTTATTTTCATATAATATAATTGAAAAATTATATTTTCTTTTATATATATCTTTTTTATATATATATTTTTTTATTTATATCTATAGTCAGCTCCAGAACGAATACAAAAAGATACAATAAAAACCTCTAATGTTATTCAGAAAATGACTAATGGCTTAAATATTTCTACTGAAAAAATTAATGAATTAATTCCTCAAAAAGAAAACTCTTCAGAATTAATTAATGGATACACTAATCTAAATGGTTATACAGAATCATTAACAGAGAATAAACAAGAAAGAAATAAACAACGGATTAAAAAAGATGAAAAATCCAATGATGAATTTTTTAATCAAATAGCTACAACTATGCAAAATTTGCAAAGAGATTTAGATCGAATAACGACCAGAGTACGCAGTTTAGAAGGACAAACATTACAGGCATTGGCACCATCAATAGTACATGTAAATAAAATAAAATAAAATTTTTATTTTATTTTTCGCTTATTACAATTTACTTATTCACTTATACACATATATATTTTTCTAGACACAGCCTACTTTATATCCAGAATGGTGGCCTTTACCAGAATGTTCACCGCGATTATTTACTATCTTAATCATATGGCCGTTTATAACACAATTTTTGATTTCTTTAATACAACGTTATCGTCAACGAAGGCTGTGATTTAAACATTACCACTATTTTATTCAAAGTATATTCCATTATTTAATATTAGATAATGAATTCACATTAATGTTGAATTCAAATAATATAGACATTTTCTAAGAATTATAATTTAAGTAAATTTCTACAATTTAAATGCGTATTTGGCCGAAACTGCGATTCGTGTAGATTTCATTTATAAACGAATAATCAATCGTATAAAAGTTTTAAAATTTGTTTTTTATAAACTATTCACATATGAATGTACAGTAACTGTACAGAAATGTTTATTTATTTTAAATACGAAAGAATTGATGAGAGTTTGATTGCTCTCTGTATGTTTATATATTAAAAATTAATGAATTAATTCAATATCTAATTTGTCCAAAGATATAATATGCTTATAAAATCAGTTAATGAAATAAAAAATCAGTAAATGAAAAATTACAAATATTTTTAATGAAATCAATTTCTTCAAAAATGATAAAAATATTTAAACTGTATAATATTAATTAGAAACACATTTATAATATTATTTATAAAAAAAATATATTTTTTTTTAAGTATTCAAAATATAAAATATGATCTATAATAGTAGTATATAGACAATAAATGATAGTAACAAATAATAAGTGAACTGAATTATAAGTCAATTGAAAGATTTTTCTATATTAATAATTTTCAAATATATTATATCTTTGAACAAATTATAATTTACATGTATTATAAATAGTAATATGTATTCATATATTGTAATATAGACAAAAAGATTATATACAAATTTTATATTGTACATTCAGATTAAAGATAGAACAAAGATAGAATTAATTAAAATATGCAATTTTTTTAAAAGAATTTATAATTTACTTCGGATTATCTTATCAGTATCATTATTACTCAATGATATATAAATAATGATTATAAAGTTTACTTTTTTCAATGAATTTTAAATTAAAAACAAATATATCACAAAATTGTGTACAAATGTTGTATAAAAATGTATAATTTTTAATTATATTTGTAATAATTATTATTTGTAATTATTTTTCACTTTATACAATCTTAATAAAATATTTCAAAACACTATAATTTTCATTTTTTATTTTCTTAAAATTATAATTAATTATAATTAAATATAAATTTATATATTTTTTTTATAATTTTTTATTTCTATTAATACATATTCATAAATAAATTGTTTAAATGAACTTTCCTTTCAAAGCAAAAATTCATACAAAACCTTAATTTATCATATAATTATTTACAATGATTAATACAAATTGTTTGTATATAATCATTTCTAATCATATAAATTTATTTCAAAATATTGATAAAAAATCAAGTAGATATGTAATATAATTTATGAATATTTATAATTACAATTCAATAAATATTTTATTCTCATAATTCACAAGAATTTAAAGTTAAAATGAATAAATTAATTGATAATTACAACAATAAAATTAATTAATAAAATATAATATATTTTTAACAAAGATTTCAAATATGAGTACCACTGTAAAATAACCTTGTTCTTATTTTATATGAATTAAGGATCGAGCTAATATTGGCAACAACGAAATGTTAGTAATTTTATAACATTAGAATTTTTTTTATATTGCTCAATTTAATTTTTATATGTTTACAAAAGTGATAAAATTTCTGACGAAAGCAATATACGATACATATCAAATGTTAGAACACATAGTATTCCACAGGTTGTGGTAATCAATAAATTGTTGCTTTATTCAATTTTTACATGACGTTTCTTATTAGTGGTTCGAAAGCGAAAAACCATATAATTAAAAATATGAATAAAAATTTGTTTGTCATCGTTTTAACATTTTTTATTATGAATCTATCAAACGCTCAAGATATAGATTTGGGAATTATTGTTTTTGCAAATGTTGTAAGTTAAAAAATATTTTTTAAATAAATAATATTTTATAATAAATGATATTTTATATATTAGTTATTTATATTACAAGCATATATTTATTTTTCATCTTGTTTATAATGCGATATGTGAACTAAATAATATAATAATAATTATTATTATTATCTTCTAAAAATAACTATAATTTCTTTAATAGTTATATAGACATGGAGATAGAACACCTATAAGACCTTATCCAAATGATCCTTATAATAATGAAAGTATATGGCCAGTTCCATATGGCCAATTGACAAATGTAAGTAATTGTTAATCTTAATATATACATCAATTTTTATTTTAAATAACTCTTTTAACAGAAAAAAATATTAATTTTGTAGTACATTATTTTTACTATGTTTAATCTTTAATTTTAAAATCTTTCTAGAATATTATTTCTTACAGTAATATATTTATTAAATTGTTTATAGATTGGAAAGGATCAACATTTATTACTTGGTCGTTGGATTCGTAAACGCTATTCATATTTATTAAATGAATTTTATTCTCCATATGATATTTATATTCAAAGTACTGATGTAGATCGTACTTTAATGTCAGCAGAATCACAACTTGCAGGTTTATATCCACCAGTTGGTAAACAAATATGGAGTAATATTAAATGGATGCCTATTCCAGTACACACTATTCCAGAAGATAAAGATCATATTTTAGCTGCTAAAAAATATTGTCCTAAATATGATTATGAACTGGACAAAGTTCTTAATTCTCCAGAAATAAGAAAGATGAATAAAGAAAATAAAAAATTATATGCATATTTGACAGAAAAAACAGGAAATAAGATTTCATCTCTAAGATCTGCTGAACAACTTTATGATACCCTATTTATTGAGGTAAATTTTTATTTTCTAAATTATTTTCTTTCCTAATAAATAATTTTATTTGATATATTTTATATATTCTAAATTTGCATTATAGAATCTTTATAATAAAACATTGCCAGAATGGACAAAATCAGTATTTCCAGATAAACTTAAATCTATTGCTGAAAAAAGTTTTACAACTAGTGCCTATAATAAAATTCTTCAAAGATTAAAATCAGGTAATATTTGTTTTTATTGTATTTAAAAAAAGTTTAAATCAATTTTATATTATAATATGAAAGATATAAAAAACAGGATCATTACTTGGAGAAATGATAGATCATATGGAAAAAAAATCAAAAAATGCCTTAGTACCTGATAGGAAAATATGGATGTATAGTGCTCATGATGACACTTTAGCCAATATGTTAATGACTTTAAATCTTTTTGAACCACATTGTCCACCATATACTGCTACAATTTTGATAGAGTTAAGAATAAATTTAAAAAATCAGTATTTTGTAACGGTAAGTAAAATAAAAAGAATATGAATAATATGAAAAATAGTACAAAATTGTTGATTGATATTTTTTATAGATATATTATAAAAATACTAGTGAAGAACCAAAACTTTTGACACTTCCTGGTTGTATTACATTATGTCCCTTAAATCAATTTATTACATTAACAAAAGATGTTATACCTATAAATTGGGACAAAGAATGTACAATGGATTGGGAACAATTTGAATATAATATGAATACACCAGCAGTTATTGGTAAATTTCTAAAATAATATAAATATACTTTTTATTAGAAATAATAATAGAATAATAGAATAAGTTTAATCATTTATTTAATCTTTATTCTATTTCAGTAATATTGACATCTTCTATACTGATGTTACTTTTATTAGTTTTATTTATAATGGGCTTTATTTATTGGCATTATAAACGAGAACATAATCAGTATTACCTACGATTAACAACAGATCCTATATAATTGGATGTAATATTGTGAAAAAAAATAATTGACATTACACGTGAGCGTTTTATTATTATTATAATATCAATATTTTCGTAATTAAATAATTAACAGAATTAAGATAAATTATAAAACTCATATTTAATTTTACAAATATTAAGAAATGAATTTATAATATGAAAAATAAGTCTGATAATTATTTTCACAAAATATTCGAAAAAAATTTTATATATTTTATGATATTTATACTTTTTTATTAATGATAAAACATTTCAGTTTATAATTAAATAAGTGGATAAATAAATCCATAATTATTTGTAAATTTTAATTGATAAAAAAAATTATATATAATGTTCGTATAAATTGTTGAAAACAAGGCTGTTATAAAACGGTATTTCTAATAATTTTTAGCTTGACAGAAGAGTAAAAAATCCTTAATAATTTTTGTGATTATAAAGTGCTATATTACTTAAATTGATATTAGTGCTATATTACTTAAATTGATTTTTATATATAATATGAATTTAAAAAATTATCTGATGACGAAAATAATTTATACATTAATTCTGAAAAAATTAAAGTGTTAATTAAAATAATTTTTGTAAAAATGATATCATAATAAGAAAAAATGAATTTTAAAATACATATAACTCAGGGTATCTTAGTTTTTATTTTATACTAAACAAATAGATTCATAAATATTTGAAATTCAAAAAAAAAAAATAAATAAAATATTTTAAAGAAATTAAATTTGCAATATTTTAAAGAGGTATCTAGTCATAACATATTATTATAACTATTATAACATATAACTTAATCATTAATTAAAATTCTATTTGTTATTAAATATATGTAATACATTTACATGGATATTATTATAATTTATTGTAAATCGTATTTTTTGAATAAGAAATACAAAGTAAATTAGATTTAGTAAAACAAAAAGACAATATCTTAGAGAAGAAAAAGAGAAGTTACGTCCTATTTTAATCAAATAGATTATACTCTAAGAATTTTTCAATTTTTAAACTGAACTATTTTATCACTATATTTTGTTGTTCGATATTATATAAGCATATAAATATAAATTGTATTCTATTTAAAGTATTTTTGTGACATTTAAAAGCGAATAAAATAAGTATTATAAACGAATTAGTATTTTTATATTTATATTTTAATATTTTATATTTTTTATATTTTTAATAAATATTTCTTTCTTATTATAGAATTTTTGAATTATAATAAGAAATATACCTTGCATATATTATATGAGATCCATTTTCATTGACAATTAATAATGAACTGATTCATTTTCAAAACAATGTTGTGTATACTTTAAGCATTTTTTAGTTTAAAATTAAATAATCATGATATATAATTTTATATACAAAAAAAAAATTTTTATCATCTCTAAAAAAAATAATATAGATAATAATATAAATATCATTACATATACATAACATATTCACTGATTATATTTTATATTTTTATTTTTTAATTATTTATTTTTATTACTTCTTTTTTTAGATATCACAGTTCTTATATTTTAAATATATTTCCATTTATTTAAATTTCTTAATTATAAAATTTTTCAAATTTTAAATTTGATTGCATATTTTATCAACTTTTTTTTAAAAAAGATAATTATTTTATTTGTATAATAATTATATATATATATGACCATCTCATATCTCTTCTTATCTCTATGTTAAAAATTTAATTAATTTCAGTAAAAAATTAATTTATAGATTTATATATTTATAATTTTTAATTTTATATAATTCTAATAAAATTTAGCAGTACGAATCACGAGTATTAATTATTATTTATCACGTTTTATTTGTAATAATATTCTCTCAATATTCTGGTATTGTAGTAAAGTTTCCAGACCAATTTTCTTGAATATTAAATGCCGGATTAGACCTAAAACATTAAAAAAATAGATAATAACTAGATTAATTTTATCAATTAGATTAATAAAATAAAAAAAAATATTTGAAATGTTATGATAATTTAAAAAAATTATTTAAATAATCAAAATAAAATATATAATTTAATTAATACTTTATCATAAAATTATAATAATATTAAAAACTTATCTATATTTAAAAAAATTTTAAAAATCTGGTTATATATTAAGCTTGTGTTTGCATTTGTTAAACTGTATATGTTGAAAATGAAAAAATATTTAATCATGTGATAAAATGATTTATTAATAAAACTATGATAAATATACACAAATGATAAATATAAAATAATTAATAATTTTGAATACAATATATTTTATTATTGTAATTATATTTAATTATTAACTTTCTATTTTATAACTTATAACAAATTATATCTCCAATTTATAACTAATAGGAATTTATAACTCTAACAATATTTTATTAGTTTCATCATCATAACTCTTTTTTTATTTTTATGATTTTAAGAATTTTATATATTGAAAAAAATTAAAAAAAAAATATAGATTTTTAATGATAAAGTACATACCATATATAAAGTTGAAGACAGATGATGTTGCGATTTGTTAATATATAAATATAAATATATTTCTTTTTAATTGTGATAAAAGTTTATAATATGAATTTCTTTGAGTTTTATATCTTTGATATATTGAAGAAACTATGAATTTATATATTTATGTATGAAAAAAAAATAATTCGTGTAATATACTACATTATGTAATATACTATTATTTAAAAAATAATAATAAATATAAAAAAAAATTTTTTTTTAGAATATAATTTTTATTTTATAAACCAAAATATAATAAAAATTATATAACATCATTTTTAGAAAGTATAAAATGGTAAAAAAAAAAAAACAATATTTTTATTATATATATGTTAGTATTTATTATAATATATATAATATTAATAAAGCATATATGATGGTCAATAAATATTTCTAACTCCATTTCATATTTATTTTGTATTCAATTATATCTTAATTCTTGCTTTTCATATATATACACGCACATTTATAGATTTTAAAAATTAATATTAGACATAGAGCAATTAGTTACATATAATATTAAACAAACATTTTAAAATATATTATGTTAAGCAAATTTTCTAATCTAAACTTATTTTATTAAAAATTATATTATTTAACGAATATATAATAATGTTTATTTATTATGACAATTACAATGCCAATAAACAGATTATTCTTAAGCTTGATAGTAATATACAATACATGCAAATCATTATAACATTTATTAAAAAATATATAAGTAAAACTGTTATGAATTACTTAAATAAATTTATTTATTAAATAAACAAATATAAGATAAAATATAGTTATTTAATTATATAGAATTAGCAGTTATTTTAAAATAATTTTTACAAATAATTTATCAATATATATTATTATATATTCTCACACAAAATGTACTTCATTATATTACATTGTTAATTACAATACATATATTATATAAATGAAAAAAACTAATTTTTTTTTCATATTAGTAAATTTTATAAAACACAATTAATTAAATTAATTAACGAAGTTCTATTATATATAAAATATATACAATTCTTACCTTGCATATATTGCAGGATTTGATAATCCAAGTTTTGTACTTACAGGATTTCCAATATATTTTTTTACAAACTGCAATAGAAATTAACAATAAAATAATTAATGATATTTTATTATTTAATTTATTTGTTATAATTATTATTTATAATTCAATTTAATACATACCCAATGATTACCAAGAGAAGTTGCGCCCATACTCACAGCCATGTGAATAGTCAAATATAAACAAAATAGGAGATATAAAATAGAATAAATAGAAATGGCAAGTATCACCGCCCAATGATGCGGTAAATCTTCTTGAACAGTATTTATCACAAAATATATATTTATAGTTATTACAATAGCAGATAATATTGTTGCAACAATCTTATTAATTCTGAAATTTATAAAAATATATATTAATATTGTATACAAAACTAAAAAACTATAAATGTAAAAATAAAAATAAAGCCTACATTCCATTTCGGAATTCACCCATAATCTGAGAGCTACTAGTAAACGCTATTGTTGGCAATGTTGCAAAAGGTAACTGAAGAGTCATAATAGCATTCAAGATATCATTCATGCCAGTTAAATTATCTATATTACTAAAAAATGCAACGAGAAAGGTTGGAACAATAGCGATCATTCGCGTAAAGAGAACTCGTTTCCAACGAGCCCATTGCAAATTTAAAAATCCTTCCATTGCAAATTGTCCTGCATACGTTCCTGTCATTGTGGAAGACTGACCAGCAGCAAAAATACCAACTGCCCAAATATACATTGCTACTGCACCAAACGCACAACCAAGAAATATGCCACCTTTGTTAAGATCTACTGAAATAGTAGTATTCTCCTTCTGTAAAGAACAAAATGAAATATAATAAAAAAACTATCATTTTTAAATAAATAATAAATAATAAATAAATAAATAAAAATAATAAATAATAAAAATAAAAATTTAAATGATTTGTTACTTACTGTAAATGTATCTATTCCTAAAGTATAATTGTTATCCTTACAAAGATTGTACTAAAATGTAAAGAAATATATATGAATATAATATATGAATATATTATTTTGAAAATTACAATACAACATTTTTCTTATAATTTTTGATTCTTGTACTTACAACTTCTAAATTAGTTTTATTATAAAGTCCATCCGCAAATACCGCAACAACAAATACATTAATTATAAAAGATACTAAAAGTGCAATGCATGCTTCAATGAAATAATACATATTTGCCTCTTTTACTTTTTTGGATTCTTCACGATTAATGTCCCTTGACTATAAATTATAAAATATTATGTTAATATTTATTTAATATTTGATAAATAATTTTAATACATAAGAATGCCTACTTCTTCAATTTCATAAAAAAGATTATTTATACTCTTTGTTCTTTTCTTACTTTAACAAGAGCACTGTGAAGATACAAGTTATGTGGCATTATAACTGCACCAACAATTCCTACAGCTTGTAGTAACATATTCCTGTCATAATCTTTATACCAAGGTATAAACATTCCACTTATTACTTCACTTTCAGGTGGAGCAGAAACTATATACTAAAATTTGAAAATAATAATAATTTTAATTTATATATACATATAT